ATATACTGACGAATATTTGCTAACTAAAAGAAACTAGACTACACTTTCATTTTTATAAGATAAAGTTAAGGATGGAGAAAATATCATTAAATTTTTATTTGATTCATTATTACGTTGACTCAACCTGTAAATTCAGATCTTCATATATAATTCTACAAAGCAAAAAATAATAGTAATATTCAGCCAGAACAAAACAAATTAAAATACTAACATTTATTATTTATACTAACATCTCTATAAATTCTATAACACTTATATTCACAAGATTTATTATTTAGTTTATATATTTTATTTTAAAATAAACTTTACTTATATTTAAATATTATTTTCAGATTATAATGTTTAATTTTATTTGAAAACTTGAATCTCTTTTACAATTAAATGAAATATTCAGCCATAATATAAATTTTTTTGAATATTTGAATACCAGATACTCAACATTGTGACAAATTAAGTCAAATAATTAAAACATTGACCATGAAAAATTATAACGATACTTCCAAAACTTTAAATATTTATTCCGTACTTACTATCAAATAAAAGGTTACTCAGTCCGGATCATAGTATTCGTTTATTTTCTGGTTTTATCGCTTGCCAAAATAACTCTGACAGACGTCGAGAGAGACGCATCAATCTTTCTAACCCAGAGACGTATCAAGCAGTCGCTTAGGACATTTTATGAATTTTGTTTTGTATTAAAACTTTTTGTTTAGTATTTATATGTAAACCAAATTTATAATTTTAATAATGATATTTGTAAAAAAATTTAGCACTATTATAAAAAATTTATTAATAAATTTCTTGAGTAAATGTAGGTCTGGGTATTCGGATATTCGGTTCGGTTTTGGATAGAAACCATTCGGTTCCGGGTATATCGGATAAATCATTCTTATACCCACTAGATACTTATGAGATTTCGGTTCGGATTCCGGTTTCGGTTCTAGTTCGGTTTCGGTTCGGTTCCAGGAACCCATTTAATATATAAATCAAATATATATATACAGAATATATTAGTTAATATGTTAATTAAAAAGGTCTAGTGTTTACTTGCTTACATATTAGTCAATCCAACAAGAGTTCGAATCAATAAAATGTTAATTTTATAAATAGTTATCATATTTTAATATAGAAATACCATATATATTTATAATATAACTGAATAAATAAAATATAACATGGTCTGGTGGTAAAAATATATTTACTCTTTGTATCTAACATGGTTTCAAGTAGGCTTGATGTCATTTTATCTTATTTTTTTAAAATATAACCGTTCGGTTCTCGGTTCGGTTCCGGTTCCGGTTCGTTTTTTTGGGTATAGAAATATAGGAACCATTCGAATATTTAAGAATTTCGGTCCGGTTTCAGATATTTTGGTTCGGTTCTGGTTCGGTTTTTCGGTTCCGGTTTTTTTGCCCCGGCCTAAGTAAATGTATAGAAAATAATTGTATCTTTAGGTAAGATTTCACATTACAAATAATTTTAGTAAAACTATGATCAATACATTCTAATTTTTATGATAATATTCAAAAGTATTATTATATAGTTAATTTTATGAAATTATTTTCACTTTTCATTAGTGAAATTAAAAGCATGAAAAGGTTAAAGTTATATGGTTTTGTTGTAAATGACTTTTCTTTGTGTTTTTAGTTGATTTTTTAAAAAATTCTCAAACAAATGAGGAATTGACTGTGAATATGTTTTTTTAAATGATAAATTTTTAAAAATTGAAATAGTTTATGAATTTTAATTTAAATTATATTCTAAATACATATATGATGTTAAATAAAAACATTAAAATATATGTTAAATTTTTTTGCTTAGAGTATCCAAAAACATTGGATCGGCACTACTGACCCATCAATTAAAAGTTGACCAAAAAAAAATAACTTTGACACATACTGAGTGTATGAATGGAAGGCAGATAAAAAGCAGTTCTCATGCATCAGTGGGCAATCTGCAATTTATTTGCCATTCACATTTTTTGAAGTTAAGAAAGAGAAAAGCACGAAATTGCATTTTTTTGTCTTTTTTCGTAGTTCATCTGCCTACAGTTTCACCCACTCCGATTTTGGTGCTGTTCACTTGTTCCACTTCCCATTTAACCAATATATATTTTTAAAAATAAATTAATTATGAAAATATTAAATTATCATCTATAAATATAATTATTTATTAGTTCTATATTTCAAAAAGGGGTCTCATGTTTTGAAATAGGGTTTGTTTATTGTACTGAAATTTATTTAATTAAAATTATAAAATAAAATAGATTTTAATTCATACATATTAAAAACAAAAATTATATATTAATAATTTCATAAAACTAAATTTAGTATAAAAATATTTATATAATTAGTGTAAAACAGAAGTAAAAGTAAATATATCCCCTACTAATTAATGACACTAAATTTTTTTCCTAACAACTTTTGTGTATATATATATATATAATTATGAATGTAATTACTATTAATATTACATATATTTATGTATAAATCAAAATAATTTTACTTTTGTTTGTGTATTGTTTATATATAATGTGTTTGATATTTTGATGTTATTTCTATATTTAAACATGTGATTTACAGTTTTAAACCGCTTTTGCCATTCATAATTATAATAAATTAGTTGATTCGCTTGATTTTCTTCTCTCCTGCATGATCCGCTTGATCTGCATCTCTCCTGCATGATCTGATTGATATGCTTGATCTGCACCGCTTGAACTGATTTTACCATTCGAATTCGAAGCATGAGAGAGACGTATAATCTTTCTGACCCATCAATTAAAAGTTGACCAAAAAGATCATTCTCTTAAAGTATCCAAAAACATTGGATCAGCACTTCTGACCCATCAATTAAAAGTTGACCAAAAAAAATAACTCTGACACATACTGAGGTTATGAATGGGAGGGGCATGACAAAGACAGATCAAGCAGTTCTCCCGCAATAGGCAGTTCTCCTGCCTTATGTTTACCATTCACCATTTTCTGTTTGTAAAAGCAGTTCAAGCGGGAGATCTGCATGCAGTTCAATTTTTTTGTCTTTTAGTAGAAAAAGCAGGAGATCTGCATGCAGATCCCATCCGCTAACATTTGGTGATGTTGATCTGCCTTTTTTTTTCCTTTTATTAATAAATAGTTTTATTACAAACACTTAACTTTAAAATATATTTATTTGATTTTATAAATAATGTACAATTATTAACTCAAACTATATAGTTCACATTAATATTATTTGTATCATTTTAAAGTTATAAGCATGATGTCTAATCGCCAAAAAACACAATATTTTCCACGAAAAATATAAATTTTTCTACATAAGTGTCAG